ATGTATAAGATTTATATGTAAATAGTTCACTTTTTCATATATATATATATATATATATATATATATATAACAATGCTAAGAGAATGCAAAAACGTGCTTGCTTTTTGAGGTGAAACAACTTATTTTGGAAGCAAGATGCTTCCTTTTTTATGGGAACATGAATATTTCATTAATTATTCATAAGGCGTCACAAACCCAACGCCAATACTATAACGAAAGACCATTCCAATCTGATACACAGATTAAGAAGAAATGACAACAAATGAAGATCTGGTTGCAAAACCACCTTCATCGGACCCATGATTATTAGGAAAACGAAAAAAATAAAATAAAATAAAGTAAAACGGAGCATGCACAGATGCACTACCTCCCAGGAAAAACCCGACATCCGAGGAGAGAAATGCTTTCTAAATAGCAACACTGTGGAGAACCACTGTTTCAAGTGTGAGCCCAGGTCCAAAACCAAAAAGGACACCCCAATCGTGTCCTTCCCCGGTCGTTTTGGCACCATTTTTCGCTGACCTCTTCCTCAAGTGATCCATGACAAATAGCACAGATGCACTTGACATGTTTCCATACTCAGCCAAACTCTCTCTTGCAGCCTGGAGCTTCTCAGGCTTAAGACCCAACTTGGCCTCAATTTGGTCCAATATAGCTCGACCACCTGGGTGGGGAATCCAGAAAATGGAGTTCCAATCTGTGATGCCTAAAGGCTCAAATGCCTTCAGTAGGGCCTTCTCTATATTGTTGGAAATTACCTTAGGGACATTCTTGCTAAGGTGGAATACAAGCCCTGCTTCTCGGAGATGTCCCACAATAGCTCCTTCACTATCCGGTAAGAGATTTTGGGTTGCTGAAACCAATTCAAACAAGGGTTTCTCGACCCCAGGTATTGGATCCGAACCAATAATAACAGCTGCCGAACCATCACCAAAAATTGCCTGACCCACTAGGTTGTCCAAGTGTGTCTCGTGCGGACCATGAAAAGTGATCACAGTTAGCTCTGCAGAGACAAGAAGAACACGAGCCCCCTTGTTGTTCTCTGCCAGGTCTTTGGCCACACGAAGCACAGCGCCCCCAGCATAACATCCTATGTGATACATCATGACCCGCTTCACTGATGGTTGCAGACCTAAAAGCTTGATAAGCCGATGGTCAATTCCTGGCATTTCTACACCGCTGGTCGAACAGAATACAAGGTGGGTGATCTTGGAGAGGGGCTGACCCCATTCCTTTAGGGCTTTGAGGGCTGATTCCTTGGCCAACTTGGGTGTCTCTTCAACGACCATCTTTTGCCTAACATTTAGGGAAGTCCCCTTGTATTCACAAATATTAGGGTTCTCCTTAAGCAAATCTTCTGTGAAGTACATGTGACGCTTCTCGACCGCAGATCCCTCGCCTGAAATTCAATACAAGCATCAAAGACAAGGGCAATGCTACTGTGCAGTCCGCAGCGCATTGGTGCAAAAAACAAAATTCAAAGACAAAATTTAGATAAATGACATCGCAAAGCCTGACAGTTGACATGAACAACCCTTTAGTCATGTCATCTTGTCATATATTTTCAAGGCCTGTTTTCCATGCATATGAGTATATGTTAAGAAACATGAGTGGAAGGTAATCAACAACGCAGTAAAAGTAAAGCAAAACGTACAAATGCGCTGAAATTTCTGCTTGAGATCCGTCTTGTGCTCACTGTTCGTGATGCGGAAAAAGTAGTCTGGGTAGGTGCTTTGGTAGTGCACGTTGGGTGGGTTTGCGGTGCCAATGGCTAAGACAGTGGCAGGGCCCTCAGCACGCTGCGCCTTGCGGACTTCATCGACAGTCACCATTGTTTTTTAGAAGAAGAAAAACCTGCCGGCAGTGATAAAGGTGATAATAAATAATTAATGCTGGATGATTTCCGTTAGCACACCATTGAGATTAAGAAATTATTAAAAGTAATAAAGTATGAAATTTACGATTGCCTATAAAAAAAAATAAAAAGGTATATATAGGATATAAATAGTTATATGCCTTTAACTTAGAAAAAAAAATATAATAATAATTTTACAATAATAATTTCTATGCTTCTCACAAGAAAAATTCACTTAACATGTAGTCCTCCCTCACACGTAGTGCCGTTAATAACTCAAATTGAGCTCAATCTCTCTTTTAGAATATCGGTATCTATGACTTTACACATGATTGGTTATATAAACATTTAAGTGGCAAATGAAACTCACTAGAATTGAAGCTGGAGCTAAATAAATGCCCACAAAATATTTAATAGTCTAAAAAAAAAAAATTCCCCAAAAACACCCAAGCCCAGAATAACTCTCACTCAGTTTTCTATTACTCAATGACCAAGCAAAAATTATCTTACTCGGCTGTTTTTCTTGACTATGGCTAGCTGAAACTCGTATACTTCAAATGTTGAAACTCGGGACGTTATATAAGGGTTCCATGCCAAGTGCCATCTAACCTTCAAGGTGAAGAGTGAAATGTTTTATTCATATAGCTTCACCTACCAGGTTTACTGATCTGAAAAAAAACCTACCAACTAGGTTTGCTGATCCGAAAAAAACAACCTACCAATAAGGTTTTTGTTAACCACCTAACCTATAAAGCACGAGCTGCACATAAATATGGTTATGGCTCGACAAAGAAGAAGATGATCTTGTCAAACAACTCGCCTTTCTACTGTGGGTAAAAATCACAGATGAGTGCAGTCCTTTAGTTAAACGAACTTTAAAAGCCATCATGTCACCAGGAAATGGTAGGCATAAATCACGAACGAATTTTGGGCCAAATGCAATTTTGGTTCTTTATTGGTAAAATTGTTTGTCTCTCATCTTTCATCAATTTGACACTTTGATCCTTACAATTCTAATTACTTTGGTTTGGTTCTCAAAGTTCTGATTTCTTCCAATTAAATCCTTTTCTGTGCAAAAAATGAAAATGACGCAAAATGAAGTAAAATTTCATGAAAGTCCGACCTATCAAATGTGGCTAACACTACTATTAGTAAGTAAGATAATTCATGAGTAACTCGTAAGCTACTTGAATCAAACTCAACTTGAGTTCAACTTTTTAGTAAATGAGTCCATCTCAAGTTTAATATCAAGCTCTATAAAAAAAAAAAGAGTTTGAGTTCGAGCTTACATATTCAATCGCAAGTTACTAGTGAGTATTTGATTTAAAATTAAAAGTTATGTTATAAGAATTTATTATAATTTAAATATATAATAAGTTATAAATTTAATATTAAGAATCTAACTTAAATAAGTTACATATTTTAAGATTTTTAGAATTATTAATAAAAATGTCAAAAAAGAGTGAAGGTGTTGAATTCTAGCATCCTTCATATGTTG